GATTTTTCGCCGTTTTGCTACCATATGCATCGAAAGAATATTAGGGAAAGAACGTTAGAAGAGTAGGGACTAATTCCATCCCGTCAAATTTAGGTAATTTTGATAGGTCTCTCGTCTTCATCAATGAACAGTCTGATAAACTGTTAAAGAAGTATATCTGTACTCCAAGCCGGGCATTCACAGAGAAAATGTATTATGGTTTCTTTTGCCTACGGGTTTCCACAATTTTTACAGTGAGAATTATGAAGAATGCGCAGTTTCTTTACGTGAATTCCTATATACCAATGACCAGTAAGAACAGCAGACCTTGCAGTGTTCATGCGGTCTCCTTTGATGAGATCGGAGAAACTAATTTTATTATAGGTGAGCCATATTAACCTAGAAGTTGCACATGACTTAAATGCTATCTATGTGCTATTGACAATTTAAAGAAAGTAGAAGTAGTAGGTACTTCTCTTAATGGTATCTAGGGTAATATAAACCGGTATCGTCAGACACACATCAGGGAAGCATCAGTGCACGCAAAATTTTCAGATTTCTTGTTCCCTTCGATATTTCTATGTTCAAGAACCAAGATGAGGGTGATATTACCCAACCGATTTAGCTCGTCAGTCGTCTCTCTGCATTTTTTTACTATCTTTTATGTTTTTGTGAAGGATTTAAAGGATTTGGTTGCTGGCTGGCTTCTTTTTTTTCAATTTATAAATTATTTATTGAATTTTTTATTTAGAAAATAAACAATAAGTGGATCGAATCTTAAAACTGAGGGAATGTATCTGAAAACTTCTTTCAAAGTCTAGGCTGAAACGTTGGTCATTTGTTCCTTTCACTCGATGATGTCGTCTACCTCATTTTCCACCAGCGGTGGAAACAGAATTAAAGAAGAATTACAGATACTATACTAAAGTCCATCAATGAACTCGTACTTGTCTACTTAATATAAACTGTTAAAATTAATTTCTGATAGCAAGTTTTAAGGCATTTATTCATTTACGCCTTAACGGAAAGACAGTTTGTAACTTTTGATGTTATTTTATTATTTTTTTAATATTATCTGCGTAATATATGATTTATTTCACATAATTGTAAAAATAAAATTGCACAACAAATCTTGCAAGAGAGGCACAAACCTAAGTATTATAAAACTCCGTGAAGTATGCTACATACTTGAAGTTTCAAAAGTTTTAAAAATAAGCATTAGATGATATACATAAATGGTATTGAATATTTTTGCACATAATTATGTTAGATTAAATTAAAAATGCTTCTTTTGCACTCCCTCCCCGCTGTCTTATATTTTTTAAAGTTCTTTTTGTTGAAAACAACACCCTTAACCTTCATTCTTTAGGCGTTGAGTTAGGCGAAATAATTTGAAGATATATGGGTACGTGTGTATGGTAGCTACCCCACGGAACTCTTTAAGATAAAAGTATATAAAAATACTCAATTGTACATAATTTTAAAACTTGTATTTTGGGAAATTTTCTTCAAATTTATATCCCGAACCGGTTACTGTAGGAACCTCTAAAACGATTCCCCTGTTATTATAAGTTTAAAGTTCACGATTTGCTTTCCCGTCCAAGTATTTTCCTTTCAACTGGTTATCGAACCTGTTTTCAAAATTTCAAATATTTGTTGAAATCTTTTGTTGGTCCAATCTAATGAAGCTGGACATGTCTTATGTCAGTCTTCTTTGAACTTAAAGTGCGTGCGTGTCGCGATTTCCGAAATTGGTATTTCTCTATAATTTTCGAAAAAGTAGCAAACTGAAAACCCAATTGCATGATAGACTAAAGAAGTTAATACGCGTTTTTAATACTTTTTGTTATTTTGTTGTTATTTAATTTAAAAAAAAATTGTTTTTATTGTTAACTAAATATAGTAAAACGTTTCATTTTTGTTATATATTTATTGTTGGTGAATTTATTACAAGTAAATATGAACAAAGTAATTTACATTAAATACAAACTTAATTAACACAAGTTTATATATTTATTTTTTTTTTGAATATTAAAAAGTTTTAGTTCACTTCTAATTATAAGTTTTACTGAACTGGTGCTTAAGCTAAATATGATTATAAATGTTCTAAGTTTTAGAAAGTTTTGTTAAAAGTGTTTGATTATTAAGTGTTCTAACCTCTACTCAACGGATTTTTAAGAGCAACTCAATAAAGTATTAATTGCTAATGATAACTTTATTAAGAAAAAAGAGTGAATAAAAATATTTTAATTCAGTCTTTATTGGAAAAAACATATACATAATTTTTCTTGCAATTAATTACTTTAAGCCGACTTTAAACTTTCTTCCTCTTCCTCTTTACACAACGAAATCCAACCCATATTCAATATTTAATAGATATTAGTTGCAATCTTAATATACAAGGTTCAAATACAATACAATACTAGAACGTATTCGCTATACTATTGCTTTTGTCTCAACATTCTGTTGGCAGCTTTCTTAAAAAGACCTTTAATGACCACATCTTCATTAAATATAATTATTCTTCTTAAAAAGAGCGCTACGAAATTTATTATCTTCCATTGATATTTCATTTGTCTCCATTCCATTGATATTTCATTTGCTATTATGCCATGGATAGTAATAAATCGTGATCTATAAGATCCTTTACACAGTATCCAAATGAATGATCTTTATCTTATTGGAAAAATGATTAAAGGCATTGATTGATTTTGGATTATTGAGAAATATTTTGCTATCTTCACAAAATTTGAAATCATTAATATACTTTATCCCACCCATAAAAGTGTTAGCTGATAACCATCTTTTGATATCAAGACATAAATCTGATTATTTAAAAATCTTTGCAATGCTGTAAGTTGCTTACACAATTATACACAATTACACAATTATTTATATAAAATAATTAATTATCGGCGAGATTAAAATTTTTGACACAATATACATATCTTAACTCAAACTAAAATCGGATAATAGCACAAAATATGACAACAAGTCTCTTCCGGTTCCAGAGAGTTCATATTTTAACACAATAGGCAGTTCCATATAAAATATGACAACAAGTATTTTCCGGATCCAGAGAGAGTTGATATTGTGATACAACAAGTAGTACCATTTTGATAAGATTAAAACTCGCTAGAAATCATAAGTATGTTTTGCTCTGAAAAAGCTTTAGTAAGACAAACTATTTTCACAAATATTTGATTTTAAATATATGATACATAAAGTAGTTATAATGCTTAAGAGACGACAGTTTATTTGTAACAACAGAGAAAAAATATTATGTAATTATGATATATAAGTAGTAATAATGCTTAATACGACAATCCATTTGTCCCAGTAGACAAAATATTGATTTTAAATAAATTGAACTTTTCCATTTATATGGCAACTAAGAGAAATATTTAACCGACTTTAAACAATACAATTAATGCTCCAGCTATACTGCAAGCAAATAAGTTAATATAATATATTAATTCTTTCGCTCTATTCTTCTTAATAATCGGAAGTTTTTGTATCTAAAGACCGAAGAGACCATTATATGTTCGATATGAGTGTTGAGTGGTGCATTGTGTCTCAGTCATTATAGGTTGTCGTAAACTTTCTCAAAATATTCTTTTTTTCTCTCTTTTTTTTCTAATTAGATTTTTTATTGCCTCTAGTTTCAAAACATCTTTCAAAATTTTTAAGCGATAAATATTTTTATTTATTTTGAATAAAATGAAAATAAAAGTTTCAAGCAAGAGCGATCATTGATCATCGTCTTAGCCACTCAAACTGTCGCTATCAGTATTGTTTTACTTTTTATGGCAATTCGGAAATTTATATTTTCGTATTACCTATTCATAAAATAATCTCAGTCATTATGTGTAGGTCCAGCTTTAATAACGCACGGAAGAAACTTGTTTCATATGGAATTTCTGTCACCAGAACAGAGTTTGTGTAATCAATAGTGAAATTGGTACAATAGGACTCTTCTGGGCGTAGTACCGGCTCCAGGCTCTTGAGCGATTTCATATCAAAACTTTAATACTTAATAATGTGTAGATATAATAATTTTTTATCATCGTAAGAGCTTCTTCGTTCCACCAAACTTAACTTTTCTTTAACTATGGCGAAATTTTATTCTTTCTGGAGTTTTTATTTACTATAGCATATCCTCACCATACTTGTTATCATCACTATAGCATATTGAAATTTATATATTTAAAGGTGTTGGAAAGTTCTAATCTGCTCAAATATAGTGCTAGTATACTAAAACTTTTGATTTACATGACTGTAAAAATTAAAAAAAAAAATGAGACGCAAGTATTTCAGTATAGTTAATAATAATGTGAATAAATAAGCTGTTATTAGGTAAAATATGGAAACAGTGCTACCAACAACAGAATAAATTTTATAACAGCATATTACAGAACACTTAGAGAGATCAAGGAGAAGAACTTACCAAGAAACTTTGATTAACTATGAAATGTTTCCTGCTGCAACATACCACATCGAATAAAGGTTGCTGAAGTGCTTTTTCTTGAACGACTGAAGTTCAATCATGAGTTTATTTCTGTTTGAATATAATATAATATAAATAAATATTATAAATTAATATTAAAATTCGGCCATTAGAAACTAGAAAAACTATACTTATGCTAGCAATGCAAACAGTTTTTCGTGCATTTTTATTTGTCTGTTCAAACCGTTAAACCTACTTACTTCATTAAATCACATTATATTTAAAATATTGTATATTACTCAATACATATTATTTTATATATATTTACCGCTTCTATTGTTTTTTACAGTTTATATACAAACTGGGTCACATTCGCATTAGTATAACTATTGCTGACTATATACTAAATACATAGACTCTTAGTTCAATGAAAACAGTTTATTTATATCGCTTCACTAAGCTCAATATAGCTTTTATCCTTTGCAAAATATAACGACTTTAAGCATATTAAAGCAAAGAAAAGCTCTAGAAACTTTATACTGCAATTTAAAAACTTGAAGTTATTAACAAAGATATGGATTCGAAACATATAGAAAGATCAAAGAACTTTGAAGAATTAAATATTGTATATAACCAACCACAGTGTCCAAAAGCCGAATTCAGACAATCATATCAACAAATCCAACAGAAACAAACAGAACAGCACCCATACGTACAGTTGCAACTTTTACAGCAACAAACGCAGGAGCAACAACCATCACTACTTAGTTCTTCTGAGTTAGCCAATGTTCCCAAACGTTCGCTATACTCCATCAAAGAACAAGAAGAAACTTGCATCCAATCAGCAAAACTATGCATTACATCCGACGCTGAATATAAGGTTGAAGATGATCAGCCGGAAAATGTTACTCTTTCGGCACCAACTGAACAGCAGCCTTCAATGCAGCAAAAATATTTAAGTGAACGTGAGCACATATATGAGGTACTTTATCAATCCTGTGAAAGATTGACTTAAATCTTATATACTATAAGATATCTGAAAATTTTTAAATAATAATGTATATATATTTTCTATATTAGCTCTTCCATCCATGGGCATTGAAGACATACGGTGATCAGGCCAAAACTAAAACCATTACAATGCGCAAAAAGGCTCGCATCTTAAAGGCGCTTGAAGGTAAAGAACACAGCCGGCCGGACAGTTCTAAATTTCGATTTTGGGTGAAGTCCAAAGGCAAGTACAATAGGTTTCTATCTTTATTTGCTTATCTACAGAAATTTTTAAACTAATTCAATGATTCTAAAGCAAATGATAATGAAATTTCATAGTTTGCTGCAAAAGTTAAACGTACTGTTGCATTCTGAACTCTACTTCTGCGCTACAAAGAACTAAATATATGATGTGCTTCACTATTTGTATACATTGAACTAGTTCATTTGCAAATTACTCAAGTATATGTTAACTACATATTAACTTTTTTTATATTTAATATTTTTATAATAAATATTTTTATATACAATATTATTACAATATATATTTTTATATTTTTCACAATATATTTATTTTTTATACATGAGTATATGTGGATTGAAAGTTGAACTTGCACAATTTTTTATAATTTTAGCTACTATTATTAACTCTAAATTTTTGTTTTTAAGTTGTAATTGAATAATTTAAAATGAAATATAGTCTAAATATTATGATATGTTTGTCGAATCTTTCGTATATAGAGCATGTTTTACTGCAAACATTTCTAGGTTAGTGTCACAATAAATCTGCTAATAGGTTTGATAAGATTGTATATCAAGTCGCAATTATACTAAAGATTCTTACTATAATTATAAAAAATTTTGTATTTATATCCTTTTGATCATATATCCATCTATCATGTGTAATCAAAAATGTGAACAATTTTATTTTTTAGCCTTTACTACCACAAGACCTGAAGGATTTGAAGAGGTTCGTGGTGCTAAAAAGTTGCCACCAAATGCTGTTCTATCTGATAACCCAAGTGAAGTGGATCTGTTTGTGTCTTCAACGACAAAGGTTTATATTGAATATTATAATTAGCAAGTATGAATATGAAACATATTTTTTTTTAGGATCTTGGTAAACGCATTTATCGCAAAGTCGCAGTTGTTGAAGAATTTTTCGATATAATATATAATGTACATATGGAACTAGGTGGCAGGAATGGTATGCATGCTGGTCAAAAACGTACCTATCGCATCGTGAGTTTAAAATAAAAATTTTAAAAATTTAAAAAAAGACATTTTTTGTTAAACAAGACTATATATATATAGTAAAATTAGTAAATTAGTGAAGTAATGAATTTTAAAGATAATACATGAGCTGAAAAGTTTTTGACATTTAATCAAATTATAAAATTAATTTTAAAGTTAACTAAGAATAAGGAACTGCACTACTAGATCCTTCGCCCTGTGCTTATATTCATGTTAAGAATTATATCTAAATTTTATTTAATATGTTTTTGGATAGGTGTTTCGGATAGGCTTTATTATATTGTACTCGATATTGTGGATTGCATTGAAAAGGCTGGTGTCATTGGTTGGGTTGTTGTAGAAGTTTATGAGATTGCTCGTGGTTAGAATATATCCACATTTGAGGCATGTTGGTTGTATATCCCTTTACAAATTATATATTGGACGACATTTAGCTTTATTCAATAAAATGGTTTATTTAAATTTCAATACAATCATTTCAATATTGTTTTTATTCATCAAACTTTTTTTCATTCATTTTAATATTAAATGAAGTCTCATAGACCATCTTCAAGCTTATGAAGTAATGGTAAAAATATGAATGTCAATATTTTGCAACGATAAAAATAGTTTTTTCTAAGAAGTTCCATCAACATTTCAGAATAAAAACTTTTCAGTTCATCTACATAAAACATAATTCCTGAATTCTAATTGAAATTGTATAAAATTAGCCGAATATAAATGAGTTTTACTTTTTTTCGTTAATAGATAACTGAAACTTATGCATTTCTGCCACGTGAAGCCGTTACACGATTTTTGTCAACTTGTCCGGAATGCAAAAAGAATTTGCGTGCCTTCTCTCCAACAACTCTTAACCAGATTGAAGAGCAACCAAATGAGAGTTCGTTAGAGGAAGTGCTTAATTACTCATCGCATACAGAAAGTTCACTTGAAGCTGGTCCCGCAGTGAAGACTTCAACAAAATCTGTTAAACCAAAAACAGGGGCTATAATCCAACGCACTACCAATCAAAATTTGGACGCAAAAATCATTAAAACAACTGAAATACAGTTGGACATTTCCAGCGGCCATACAAACCCGACTGCCCATGAAATGCCAACAACATTTCCCAGAGGCTTACAAACTTCTAAAAAAAGTCTAACACTAACAACAGAAGTTGAAATTCAAAAAAATTTGCCAGTATCTGTGCCAAAAATACATATTAATCCCAATTTACAACGACCAATAACTCCACCTACTGTACAAGAACCAGTTTCTTCAATCGGTTTTATGTACCGACCACCGCTCAACTTCGATATTAACACACTCAAATCTCATGAAAATCTTCTACGATATTACGAATTTATGCATCGTTTCTATACTACTGGTTTTATACCAACAATAGCACATTCAGCAGCTGTAACAACTGCCAGTATACCAACAACACAGTTACCGGTTATAATACCACCTGTTTACAGTACCAGTACTCCGAAATCAAACTTAAAGCCAGAAGTGGTCGAAACTTCTGTAAATACTGACTCACCAATTTACGATACATACATTAGCAAAATAAAACATACACAAATTGATCATTCTGACGATGATGATAGACATGAGATTACACATACAAGTAAAAAATTTAAAACTTCCCCAGATACTGTTAAAGATATTAAGGCACAGACGCTAGCACTTTTGAATTTACCGAAACCAAAACATAATACAAAACCAATTTTCTCAAATCCAACTTCTGAAAAAACACTAACTCCAACCCAGACAAGTGCAATTAATTTATCAAAAAATTTCTCTTACAGATCTAGCTGCTCCCCATTGTCTTTCGCGCTACCGGTGACATGTGCCACAAGTGTCAAATTGGAAGAAGTTAACACTGGGTCCAATAAGGAAGTCGAATTACGTATACCGCAATTACTACAAAGCTTACCGACTACTTTGCCCCCGTTAGACCTGGAACGTCTTAAACCCATTACTTCAACTTATTTGCAATTAACACGTAGTATGGGATTGAGCGATGAAGATGCACTGAGATTTGATAATTTGGTAAGTAAGGATTTTAAATATTCCTTGTAATAATAAGCAAATAAGTTTATATTACAATCGAAACCAAAAATCATATAAGCCCGGTTCTGAACAATAATAAAATAATTTCAAATTTTTATAAAAATAAATAGGAAAAATATACAGAAAAGCAGTTTTTAAATTTGATTTGGTATGACTTCATTTATTGATATTGTTTTTAATTTTGTTAAGTTTCAATATTTTTTAATGTTATTATTTTTATGAACAAAATTGTCAGAATAGCTTTTCATATAAATTTTGTTAAATAGTTTCAACTACTATATATTATATATAGTAATTATTAAGTTAGTTTCGACAAAGCTCTCTTGAGGTCCCTTCTGCACATATACGCCAATAAATTTAGAATTTCAGACAAAAGTTTAAGGTGTCATTTTTGACTATAGAAACCAAATAATAATATGATGCATAGAAAATATACCCATGAAAGTAATTTATTTAGTGAAGATTTTTACTTCCAGAATTTTTATTTCACTGAGGTGCGATTATTGTCCTTAAAATAAGTTTTGAAAAAACCAAAACCAATTATGATTTCGGTTAAATTAAGATCGGAAAGCACTTCTATTTATATTTTGCTATGTGTTCTTCAGCACTAAATTTTATAGCGGACCGTATATGTAATATATAGTTTCAGTATTTTTTCTTTAATTTTATATACTATATATATTATTTATAGGGTAGGATGGCAGGGTGACATTAGGTCTACATTTTTTCATTGTGTATTTGTGGGCTTTTGAGTGACTTTGTAATGTTCATAAATAGGATCTGTAAGGTATCGTGTCAAAGTACCTTTCATTAATTTTTATTTTTAGGTATAGGTATGGCTAGTATACAATTATTTTATTGTATAATTTATTATTTCTATCATCTTTTAGTCAACTTGCAATATGCCAAAGAGAAGCAATCGTTACCATTTTCATAGTTAAGTTTGAGTAAACTTTCAGATGTTTTCAATACAACCACTTTTATTTAGTATGTATTTAGTATTATTTAAAAAAAGATTTCAAATAAAAAATAAGAAAATAATGGGGAACAAATGATAGTCTTCAGATTTACATTACTCCATTTATAATTTAGTTTTTATACTTTGTTTTATAAAAAAAATTAAAATATAAATATAAATATAAATATAAATATAAATATAAATATAAATATAAATATAAATATAAATATAAATATAATAAA